CACAGGTACATGTAGGCCTATGTGTACTGTTTGTTAGGAGACTGGGTGACTGTAATACTATGGACTCACGAAATTTACACCCGTTCCATAATTAGACAGTGCAGTTTTTTTATTAACGTCATTATAAACACTGTTAAACATATTAAATCTAAAAGTCGAATATCTTTGGATATGGGGTAACCCATATCTATTCTTGTTTATTTCTGTTTTTCTTTGTCTTAATTCTGATCGGGATCGGTATTCATCTACCATTCTACTTTGGTTTTAAATCCTGTGAACGTCGACATTATTTTGACAGCTGAAAAGATGGTAATTGCTATAATACATGTTTATATATTTTAAACAAGGGTCATTATAGTCATGGGTTGAAAAAGATTGGTGATGATGTGAAGTAAGAGATAATTGAACCTTTAAAGTCCTTAACTATGACTTTTATTCGGGTATTGTAGCTATTCCACCTAAAAATTAAATCGAAAACTTTGTTAATATAATGATTATCAATGGGTCCTAAAGTGCAGAACTTAGTTATAAATAGAAAGATTTTCATTGGTTATCCTTCCCATTGTTATTGAAATTACTTCTAATAACCTCTACCTAAAGTGGAAGTTGGCTCCAAAGGGCAGTAACTCAATCTCATTATTGAAGGAGTAAGTCTTATAATGAAAGATAACTCTTACTTCTTACCTTCTATAGTCTTTTTCTCAAATTGTAAATAATCTTCAGCTCTGATCTCTCTCTATTAACTGAAACTCACTGTCATTCTTCCAATCTGTATCATCCCAGTACACAACCTAAAATATCGTTTGTTTAGAGAATTATAATCCTGTTCTTATCAGCTCCTTAGTTTATGAAACAAGTATACAATGTAAAATATAATTCATAGATGTTATTAGCAATAAATAAGTGATGAAATAAATAAAGAATTTATAAGCATGGCTGATACAGTTATGAATATTATAACTTATATATATCTTACATAAATTTCAAATGAACATTTAGGTAATACACTTTACCATGCTTTACACTAAAATCATTAATATAAACAATATATGCACATTTTAAAACATGCACAAGACATAAACATATTACCGTTAATAATAAGACAGTGATGAATGCGACTGATGTATATTCAAATTGATGAATAAAATGGTGAAATAGTAAATTGAAAGAAAATGAAATCTTGTGACTTAATTTCTACACCTTGAAAAGAATTCAATAATATCCATTTTTACAATTCAAATAAATTATTTTACATTCAACCTTTTCAGTCATTGAAAGTTTCTGACTTTTTTGACCATTCCTAGTATTTTTGATAATAAAGCAAAGACTTTACTTTAATATATGAGTAACATGCTTCTTTCTTTTAATTTTGAATTGACTTCTAAAAGTTCCTTTTTTAAGTCATTTATGTATATATACTTCAGTCTTCTATCTTTTTGTGTGTTATATTGTGCATTGTGTGTAAACATTTTATTACCATCATAAATTCTTGGAAAATCTTCTTCTTTGCCCATGGCTTGTATTTTACATACCGGTATTTACTTTTATAATATAGATCCTTTTACATTGCTGTATTGTACTGTTTTATTATTCTCGGGTGATCACTAAGGCCATTTGGCCTCTTGTCAATTTTATTTAGAGGATATGCTTTAAAAATTTGTTATTAAGTGCCATGCAATTCTGCGAAACAGTGTAAAATTATCATTACTGAAGATATAATACTTGTATGCAGAATTTCTTTCCCTACCAAGTCATTTGCCTGCAAATTGGAAAAAATATTATAACTTTTTGAAACCAAATTATATCACATTTGTTGGTGATTGCTCTTTGGAGCCATTTTCCCTTACTGTCAGAGAAGACTACAGCTTGGTAGTTTTTTTTTTCCAGATGGTGCTGGTAAAGGCAGGTTTAAAAATTTTTTCTAAGTTTTGACTGAGTCATGATATCAAGTGGTCAGAGGAAGGTAAGAAAGCAAGATGATGGATGACGTCACGGAAGGATTTCATTAATGTGCACAAAAGTAATTGTTAACTCAATTTTTACCATAAATGCTGTGCAAAATGAAACACAAACAAAACAAAAATGAAGATTGACACACACAAAAATCAAAGACAATAAACTAAATTTAAAAGATGAAAAATGAACTAAAAATAAAAGACGAAGACAGTGATCGACAGAAAATAAAAAAAATTAAATAAAAATATGATACATACAAAAGCAGTTAATGCTTTCTTGACAAAATATGCATTTACCTTCTATGGAAATTTCAGTCACTTTGTCACTCTGTAATTTTCTCACAGTGTCACTGTAATTTGTAAACTTCTAAAATTAGAAGAAAAAAAATATAGTAACTTTAATATTCAGAAGTTCATTGTCCAATTGCCTCCTTTACATCCATATGTATGTAAAAATAAATGTTCTTGTGATTAGTCGAAAAAGAAATAGACTATATCAAGGCAGGTAATTCGATTTAAAGAAACATCCTGTGTTGACCAATCATCCTAATCTTTAAAGAATACGTGGGAAAATGTGCAATGCTACAGGCAATATTTTACAGTTCAATAAAGATTAATAGCATTAAAAAATTCATTTAAAATGTTTACATCTGTGATATTTCTTCATGATGCCAAGGAATCAAAGAAATTAACAACGCAGCGACCTTCTCGTGCAAATATACTTTACTTGTTCTTCATCGATTTAAAATAAATAAACTGGTTTTAACATCTTTTTGACAAAGCACAAACTATATCCAAACACAAAAATACCTTACACATCACTGTCATCAACAACAAAGTCCATTAAATACTACTTACCACGATTTAACTATAGGATCCTATATCCTTCCACAAATCGCATGTAGAAATGGCTACCCAGTGCTTCCGGTTGTTACTATTTTAAGATCAAAATGGCGTCAATTGGAATAGCTAGGTATTGTAGATAAAATAACACTGACTAAACAGGTCAATAAAAAATATGCAAAACTGAGAAAAAAAAATATATATATATATATATAGAATAAAGCTGCCAACCTGCCTCGACTTTTAAAATAAGTTCAGATGAGAATCTAGCAATTTATTTATTATGGCCTTACCAGACAACATGTTTTTTTTTTTTTTTTTTTTTGTATTTTTAAACATCTATCGGGATATAAATACGGGTTGGTCACGAGATTAAATTCCATAAAACCCAAAGGGCTTTATGTTGAATTTAATCTCGTACCAACCCGTATTTAAAGCCCGATAGATGTTTTAAAATGATACCTTATTACTTATATTTACATTTGTGACTTATTCATACTTTATATTTGCCTGATTTTGACTTTTAGTGTGAGGAATGCATTATTTTTTAAACTCAACGGCAAGTATGTAATCTACTCATCGCGTGTCAACCCTTTATGACGTCACTGAGAAATTACGTCAAACGATTATCCATACGCACATCTATGACCTCTTGACCCCCGTACACGTATTTATACAGTTATAGATATGCATTGCTTTCAGCATAGTAGTGTTATATGAAGGAAAACATTTGCAAATGTAAATATTTATATTTACTCACCATTTATACTGTGCATTTCCAAAAGAGAGATATTTAAAAAAATGATATGATAGGCCCCTCATCCCTTCACAGTTTGAATTTTTGAATGAAAATTGTTTATATATTGTCAGAAAGACGAATTAATTAATTAAATAATAATGTCAATTCAGAAATAGATTAATTTTTTCTATCTAGCCTTTTCAGTTTGTCGCCATTTTTATTGGTCAACCAAACGCTTCTTCCCTCGGAAAATCAGTCCACTCCATTCATGTTTGAATCTCTTTTCCTATGTATGCAGGAAGGATTTTGGTGTAATGTCTCAAAATAGTTCTTTATATTTTGTGATTTAAGATTCAGGTTAACTAACTCAATATACATTGTTTTGCAGTTTGTATTGCTTGCATGAAAAAGGTTTGGAAAAAAATGCCTCAGGCAAATGGGAAATAGCCTGAGGGATCAATTTTGCCTGGGACGATGTGTTGGTTGCCACGGGCTTAGGTGTCGTTCGACCGGGATGTCTTTCTACCTATTGCCTAGCCCTTATAATTCATTTTTATGTTGCAGTATATGTTCACCCACATTCATCATACTCTTTACATGTTTATGTGTCCCCAGAAAATCCAATGATATGTTATGCAATTTCCAACTTTTCACAAAAGAACATACAAAGAATTATAACTCGTTATTTATTTATTTATTACAACTTACAAACATTTAAACTACATTGATGAGGTAATATATCAGAATCATGGAGAAATAAATGTTGGAATCCATAATTTTCAATGTATGCACCTTTCAAAAAAAAGTAATAGTTCTGTTCGAGTATATGAACATGATCAATCAAAACATTTTAATAATGCCTTAATGGTCTAGAAATGAATGAATCAAATTGGGGGATAGATTATAGAAACAAAAGCATTATACATGTATGCAACATATTTATAGATTGGGAATTTTACAAGTGGGGCCCTTGAACATACCCCCCACTTACCCTTTCTAAATATTTTGGGTTGCAGCCATTCCCAATAATTTATTCTTTTCAAATATCCTACACAAAGCACAAATTGTAAAGGACAACGATTGATGATGATTACATGTATCATTTACTCATTACTTTGATAATGATTTTTTATGAAAACCCCTTTGAAAAATATCTATCATAGGAATAATCAAATTTATATTGAAATTCCTCTATTTGTGAAATTACTTAAAAGTACAAGTAATATCACCACTAAATATGCAGTTCACATTGGATTTTATCAGAATCTAAAACTTTAAAAAACATAAATGCCCCAGTGTTTTAACAGCAATTGAGCAGTCTGGATATGCTTTTTATCATTTTCTTGCTGAGAATTCGATAACTCTCTGTGAAGTTTACTGACTTTAGTTTGTACTCTAGCAAGAGATGTCTTATATTGTTGGCTGAATGATCTGTCAACAGCTGTTAAACGTTTATATTTTAGATATTCCTCCACCTCTTTACATTTTCCAAGCAACATTTGGACCAAGTCATCAGTTCCATACCTCTTGGCTGAAATTAAATAAAATGAACCATGAGACTTTCAAATGGCATGAAGAATGAAAGTTTTAAAAGGTATTTAAATGCTTAATATGGAGAAGAAAAACTGACCTATACGACTGCTCTGATCAACATTTTTTTCCCTCTTGCTGGTCTTTAAAAGTTGTTTTCTGCATTTCTTTCGTTCAGAATCTATTAATAATGCATGTTCATAGTCATCACATCATTGATATTTTCTTACATGACAGATATCATAGCCAAGTGCAAGGGAAGAATAATTTTGTGGGTTTTTTTTTCAACCAGTTCAAAGTCTATTACATGTATTAAACTAAGGCATTCTATTTATTATACCCCCGCAAACGAAGTTTAGGGGGGTATATTGGAATCACCATGTCCGTCTGTTCGTCCGTCTGTCCGTCAGTCTGTAGGCAATATTTTGTCCGGACCGTTTCTCAGAAACTGTTGGATGGATTTGTCTGAAAATTTATACACTTATTATACACCATATGAAGGTGTGCACCTGGTATTTTCATCATGATTGGATAATTTTTCTGCATTCTACAGGTGTTTTTTCTTTTTTATTTTGTGATTTTGTTTGGCTCATAACTAGAAAATTATTAGACTTATAATCATCAAACTTGGACAATTTATGCATCTTGGATAGAAGGATGTCATGACCTATTTTAAGGTCACTGTGACCTTTAATTTAAGTGATTTTTTTTAAAAACTAAGTCTTTAAAATTTTAACTTTCATAATCCTAAAAAATGTATAAATATAGTTGTATCCTTATTAAAAAATGCTAAATTAAGTAAAAACTTATTTTTTCATCATATACTTTACAGCAAATTCTGTAACAAATGTTAATGTTTTGAGAGGAATTCAGTTTGTCCCATGGGCATAATTATCAGGCAATGGTCAAGGAGAATTCTGATAGCAGAAATGTGCATGTCAAATTAGAAGGAAATTAATGAGTTAATTCTCTGGAGTTAACTGGCAAGAGCATGTCTAGATCAGTGCAGTGTTATCTTAATTCATCTCTTGGGAGTTGGGCAAAAAGAAATGTCATTATAGTTGCTTGTGTTAATTAAGAGTTCTTGAAGGCTATGGTCCAGATAAAGATCTTTCAATTGGTGTCATTTAATTAAAACAAATTGATGTTTTAGTGTATGATTAAAACTGAATTAGTATTGTATAATATAACTAGAGCAAAGCTCGTTGCAAAGCAACGAGTAGGTCTTCCGTCCGGTTTTGACCGGAAGTGCCGGAAGTAATGTCAACAAAAGAAAGCAATGAGCTGAGTAGTCTCCAGTGACTTTATAATTTCAATTTTGCATCAAAACCTTCAAAATAAACTTTTTTGGCTACTTCCGGTTTGACCGGAAGTGACGTCGACGAACGGAAAATTAAGTATTTTGCTTCCAGTAACATATGTTACCCAAAAACATGTCAAAAACGGCCAAAATATGCTTTTTTTTTTACTACTTCCGGTTTGACCGGAAGTGACGTTATTTGACGACTTTCGACAATTCAGGTTTCATTTCCGGCTGACATCAAAGCCGAAAGAGCAGAAAAATCTCAAATTAAACCATTTTTTCTATTTCTTTTGATTCAAGAGAGAAAGTTAAATTTTTCGTCAACTTCCGGTATAAACCGGAAGTTCTTACAATTGATGCTTTTTGTTGACGATTGTGAATGTAAACATAAGTTCTGTTTGCCTTTATTCAAGACGGTTAAATTTTTCAAAAAATCTTGAAATTAAAAATCACTTCCTGTGTCGACCGGAAGTGACGGATGCCAAAGTAAAAGACGTAATACATATCATAAAGAGATGTTTTACCATCCCTGAAAATTTCGTTATTCAGTCTTGAGTGGTTTACAAGAAGATGCGTGGACAAAATGACGATTTAAAAAATGAAAATCGGACAAAAAATGCGACCGGAAGTCATTTTTTAAAAAATGAAAAAAAGGTCTGGAGATATTACAACAATGCATCATTCCTGAAAAAATCTTCGAAATCGGTTCAGTAGTTTCCGAGAAATCATGTGTACTATGAAAAGGGAAAAATAATAATAATAGGAAACATAAGAAAAACAGTAAGGTCTTCCGAAAGAAGTCGGAAGACCTTAATTAAAATTAATTACCGGGGTACATGTGTTCACTGAAAAAAAAAATTCAATTTTTATATATTTGCAACAAATTGCAGTCATGTCTCACTTAGAATTATAGTCTAAAGAAAAATCAATTGATTTTTTTTTATTAGACTGTAGCATATTTCCATTATTTCATATAATATGCAATAAACAATTTAAAGCTGCAGATGGATATTTGTTAAAAGCTCTAATACGATCAGTTTAGAATTATATGATGTATTATTTGTTTTAATTAATCCCTACACTGTAAGCCTCTTAGAGATGTATGTACAATATTTTAAACATGATAAGAAATGAAAATTAGATCATTGAAATCTGTGTCAATCAAGGTTACCTGATTTTCTTGCACACTAACCAATTTATGATTATTGAACAATATTTTACGGGTGTATCATGCTGTGGCAGGGCACTTTATTAGACAATAGTGAACACCTCTTACTAGATCCATAAAATATTTCTGAATTGGCACCTACTCTGAAAAACCCAGTGGGGGTATTTGTCCCTATTGGACAGTTCTAGTTAAAATTAAATTATATATCCGCTTGCATACTTGCAGCATTAACATTCAAATTCTATCAACCAATCAAATCGTCCCCTGCAAAATCATGAAAGAAGTCTAGAGTTGTTAGGAATTTGATCTCTGACATGACCTTCTAATGGGATATTATTTTAGCAAGCATGCAAGCAGATCTGACATCTATAAATTTAAATTGGATTTAAAACAGTCATGGACTAAAAATCACATCGATTTCTGTGTTAATTGTAATCATTTTTAATTTAATATCATTTATACATTTTATTAGGAAGTAAACTGTAATCCTATTTTACTGTATGTTCAGTAGTTTTTGTTGTATACTAATGTGTCGTCCTGTAACCATGGTGACATGCTAATTTTTTTGTAAGTGCAGAGATTTTTCCACCTTGCTTACGTACCTGTATGTAAATTTTCCTCGCAAAATATTTTTCGTTTTGAACTGATTAATGCTAAAAATATGAAATAAAGGGAATTAATTTATGAAATAAAATGATTTCCAATTCATTTTGACAATAAAAAATACTTAAGCTGAATGTTAGGTATCATCTAAATAATCATAATAATAATATGTCTGTTTCTGTTTTAGATATATGTAAAAGTACCAATGTAATGGATCTCTTCTTTGGCTGATTGGTATCCTTTGATTGATGAAGTGAAGGTAATTGTATATTGACAGTAAGATAACAATGGAAACATTGTCTATTAATCATGTTAATTGAAATCGCTACTTATTTGCAATTATATTTATGATTTCCTAGTGCACAATGGAGATATATGTTAATTGCTAAAGAGGGAAAAATAACATAATGAAAGCTCATTAAGAAATGGAAGTATTGGACTTAATCCCATATTGAACCTTTTATCCAGATGATATGAGCTTTGCTTAGGCTTGGGGGGGGGGGGGGGTGCATACAACTCATTGGATAAAAAAATAATATCCAACTACACATCATGTGGGATTCTATACTTATAATACAGCAAACAAATTGATTTCCCTTAATTGTGAAAACAAAATTTTAAATATCCTTTTATTGTAGACACTTGACATCAACTGGTGGTCAATATCCAGCATCTGCTTCCCAATACTACAAATACTACCTTCTGGTGCCTGATGACCACTTAGCCCTTCCTCATCCTGGTGCTGTTTGACCAGTGATTTCTTTAAGTCTCTATTACCTGTTGAATTCAGGTAAAGACTGTATTGGTAAAAGGTACAGGTTTTAATAAGTCTAAGATTTGCTATCTTCTTATTTGGTATTTATGACTGTTATTGCTGGTTTAAGAGTCCAAATTTGTGTTTGCGATCATTTTAAGTCCGCATAAACAGTCTCAAATACCAAGTGAGAAAATTGTTATTTCCATTCTAATATTCCGCCAAATACTCTATTTACAATTTTGTATTACATGTAGCTGTTTAATTAATATTCTTTCTGAATAGTTGTATCATATCAGAACTTAGTTTGAATCTACAAAACAAAACAATCGCCTTCTCCATTTAAAACAGTAAGAGTTAGACAATCATCGATACACATGCTTGATTTTCTTTCCTAATCTGCTTTTTTTTGGCATTTTTCGCTTAGAACTTGCTTGAGGAAAATTTCACTTAAAGACTGTACATGTTTGACTGATTCGGCGTACGATACATCGTGTTTGATGTAACACCGCAGAATACAAGCTCTATTTCACATAACCTTGATAACAGTTTCTAATTTAAAAAAAAAAAATATGTAAATAAATGAAATGGGCAAATATACGATTATTGCCTTGAAATCGAAATTACTTTGAAAAAACACATTTTTAACGAATAACCGTCTAAAGAAATTTTTGTCCATAGTTGGTATGATCAAATGATTGTGGAGTACGCGAATATTCGTTGAAATCCCTAGTTAAAAGCATGTTTTTCTATCAATTTAAAAATACTTTCACATCTGTTAATGCGCAATTGATGGCCTCAAGCATTTGTGCAGCAAATTGGTATTATAATACCCACCCTTAAGAAGATCAGGATTGAATTGTTGATTCACTGTTGCTTTGCATCTTTTCTTTGCTTTTAACATTTAAAAGAAAATTTTATAAATTATCTCATTTTTTTTTTGAAAGAGTAGACATGCAATCTCCTACAGAAATTCTCGTTTGTAGTTGGTTTGAAAGTTGTCCCATCTGAATCTGTACAGAAAAGTGTACAATGACTATAAATCTCTTTTTTTGATCCATGTCAGGATTTTTACATGGCATAGTACATTTTTTTAGACACGTACCATCATTTGGCAACAGAGATTGAACATCATCACCATTATTGTCCTCCTCTTCCTGCTTCTGGCCATTTTCTCCATTTCCTATGAGAAGGTAAGTTGTAGAATATTTCAGTTTAAGATTTATGAAAAAATATTCAAATTTTGTAATTTTGAAATTCAATTTAAAATTTAAATTTTAAATTTTGAAATTTTAAATATCACAATGAAAGAAATTTGGAAAATATTTAATTCCCACCTGAATCTGTACAGAAAAAGTGTACAGTGGTTATGAAATGTTTTTTTTCATCATGTCAGAATTTTTACATGACATAGTACATTTTTTTAGACACGTACCATCATTTGGCAGCAGAGATTGAACATCATCACCATTATTGTCCTCCTCTTCCTGCTTCTGACCATTTTCTCCATTTCCTATGAGAAGGTAAGTTGTAGAATATTTCAGTTTTTTTATCTGTTTATTACACTGAGAAATACTGGAAAATATTATATAAGATTATTTTTGTAATTTTCATTGGCTGAAAGGACTTCATGTGATATTCCTCCTTTTGTGATATCATCAAGAAAGCGCATTGACAGAAAATAATATTGCACAACACATTGTTCGGTTGCACTGAAGTTACATTGAACATGACGTCATAATATATAAATCATGTTTTAAACTATTGAGACTTGTGTGATGTAATGACAGCCAAATCTGTTTAATAGTTAGAACTGACTCGTGTCAGTGCATTAATTTTGAGTGAGTATAAATATAACTATTATGGACTTCACTGAAGGGTCAATATGTGGTTATAAGGACTCGTGGCCGGTGATATTGATTGAAGACACGGACCATGATAGAGACCTCGCAGTCTTGGTCGCCATCACTTTCTGTGTCTTCGTTCAATATCAATTGCCATGAGTCCTTATAACCACATATTGACCTACACCGAATCTCCATAATTGTATAATAATTCATATATTTACATACCATTATCCTGATTTTCAGTGAATTTGGAAGTTTCCACATCTGAGCCTGTACATTATATAAAAAAAAATGTATTTAAACAACATTTATTTTAATGACCGAAATTTATTTGATCTATTATGTTTTCAGACACGCACCGTCTGGCTGTTGGGATGGAACTTCATCATTTTGGGATGTGTCGAATTCCTCTTCCCTCTGGCAGTCTTTTCCTTCTGCTTAGAGAAAGTGATGTATGTGTAAGATGCAAAGTGCATCAATATGAGGTTTGCTTGTAATGACTGAATAATGTAGAAGTACTTCTTTTTTCCACGAGGTATTTATTTAGGCAGTCTCCAAATCACCACAGAAATTTGTCCAATCATACTCAAAATATTAGACATGCCATGAGAATTTTGGCCCAAATGAGGTACCTGGGAGAAAATGAGATTTTTATACTATCTAGTAGAAATGACCCCCAGTAACAACTATGTGTTGTTTTTTCTTTGATATCCCTATTCATTGTCAAGAAAATTGGACTTTACTAATTGGTTGTTATGCGCCCGGATCGATAGATCAGGGGCGCATACTGTTTTTGTCCTGTCTATCTTTACACGTTAACCTTCGCCATAACTTTTGAACCATGAGAGATAGAAACCTCATATTTGGTATGCATATTCCAGTAACCAAGCTCTTTCAAATGACACCAAGGTCAATGACCTTGTGACCTTGACTGTGACCTACTTGTATATGCTTAAAATAGTCTTTTTGAACATTTGCAATACATTTTTAACAATACGAGATAGAAACTTCATACTTTCTATGCATACTCCACTAAATTAAGCTCTTTCAAATGACACTAAGGTTAATGACCTTGTGACCTTGACTGTGACCTATATACTAAAAATAGCTTTTTCAAACTTAGGGGCCACCGGGAACATGGTGTTTCATGAACACATCTTGCTTTATCTGATATTGGTGATTTCTGCGAATTTAAATTTACATAAAAGCAATGAAGTAACACAATTTGAAATAGATGTTATTTCATTCTTAAACACATATTGTTTGATCAAATTAATACAACAGGATATAACAGTTTTAAGAACTGGATAAAATCAAACTCTTAACATCCATGACAGCATGTAAATTACATTGATTTGTTACAATGTTAATTTGCACATTTTCTCTTTCCTAATTTCACTTTCTGTTCAACTTTTATGGCTGATGGTTTTGGTACACTTGGGCGGGGACATGCCTCATGACTGGCACAGTATGGGGCCACCTCGTCGTATAAATACCACTGTCGCTGTGCGTCAAGGCCACATGCTTTCATGACAGTTGGAAGAGAGGCATCCATGTTTGGAAACCTGAAATCTTTGTGTTTCTGGATGTTGACAGTTATTCCTTCATCTCCAGCATACTTTCGTAGATGGACTACTCCAGGATGTTCGTGTGTCATGCTGCAAAAGTCAAAGATGTTAGATTTCCAACATATATTGTTTTTTTTATATATTTACCTACACATTTTAATTAATTAACTAACAAAAGGTATTGAAGGAGCACAGTCATGGCATTTAATTTGTTAAGAATTTCTCCTCGGTTGTGTTTTAGCAACAAACATGTAATACAAAAATTTTCAGAATTCAATGCTAACAGAATTCTTCATAATCTTACACTAAAAATTTGCATTTGTCAACATCGGCTTAAAATTTGATGTATTTGGTGTTTGCTTTTTGGAATTTTTTTTGTATACATGTCATGTATTTTTTTTAATTTGACAATATAAAGATTTTTAATTGAGGGATAAATTATACAAGCATACGAAAATAAAAGAATGTATGACAAACAAACACCAAATATATATATTTAATAAATTGAACATGTATAAAGAAAAATTCTAAATTAATTTTGATAACGTTTTGGTCTGAAAATCTCAGGTTTTACTAAAGTCATGAAATTCTGACCCAAATAAATAAAATGAAAAAAAATATAATACCGTAGAAGTACTTTTTTCGTATGCTATTAATTTACGGTATGTACGCGGTCACAAATTTTTCGCAGAAATTTGTCAAAGCATACTTGATAAACATGTTAGGTATATATAGGGACAGTTAAGAAATCCACATGATTTTCTTCCTGCAGATTAAACAAAAATCAAGATTCTGCAGAATTATGACAGCGTGGAAAAAAGTATGTCTACAGTAAATTTGAACATCTTATCTATGCCCCTCTGTGCATTTGTTATTCTGTGATAACCCAACCTTCAATAAATTAATTGCTAAAAAACACAGGCAAGCAATATAATGCATACCGAAAATGATGATACTGCTTGAGTTGAGGTATTGGCTTGAAGTACTGCTTGAGAAACGTGCTCCAGTCATAGAAAATGACTGGATACTGGGGATCCTCTACAAGCTGGGGAATATTATGGTTATTCCTAGATGAATGAGCAACGGAATTTGCCACTTCCTCAAGATTATCTGCAGTTGTTCCTCGCCATTTCACCTTCCAGAGCCCAAAATGCCAGTCGGGATGAAACTTTGTGTGGCCTGCCTCCATCAGAGAAAACTCAATGGTCATATGTCTGCCTGTCATAACTCGCCACATCCCATATCTACAAGACATTCTTTTAAAATAATATTCAAAAGAGACAAGATCTCTAAAGGCACTTCTAAAAGAACTTGATTATGAAACTAAACTAAAAAAACAGAGCAAATGAATTGACAATAATTTTCCAGTGTATTTTATTACATGTACCACATGAAAACATGGATGCATTTGACATGAGGACACCTATTGTATTAATTTTTGCAAAAACACCACCCGCACAAATGGTAGTTAATATATAGACAATTGGATTGGAATACATAACCAATAACAGTGTTTTTTTTATTTTGACCAGTGCAGTTGTCCATATGGAGTTGTAAATTCATTTCTCCAAAACCTTTATGTTGAAAATGGTGGTGAATCATACTGGCAACAGAGTTTGCCCCCTTTCCAGAATGCTGAGACTCATCAATCAAGTAAAATATCTGTGATCCTGCATTCTTTACTTGTGATGTGAAGTTTGTAGGTTACAAATTATTTTCAAAGATTGTTATCTCAATAATCTCATGTTTTGACCTTGACAAATTATCATATAAAACTAAACGTATTACTCTAACCTGTTCTGTGAAGTTAGCATGAAGTCTATGGGATGATAGAAATATTCAAGATATTATTACATCACAGATTAGAGGACACTTGCATCTTTAGGGGCGTCCTATTGAGACCTATTAAATTCAAAATAGGACACACACATACACACAAAAAATGTATTTACAGTTCCAGGAAAGTAATAATTACACCAAAGCTAGCTTCTAAACATCTGTGTAATTTGTTAGGGTTGTAGAAAATAGAGGATCCTATGTATAAAAATCATACATAACAACTGTCTTCAATTTGAACTGGACGAATTAAAAGTTAAATGTAGATACTTTGAAGTCTGGGAATTAGTTTTTTGAAAATCTCATACTATCAGAAAATCACGATATCAATTCAAGGATTTGATAAGACCTCAGTTTGTTAAATGACTGCAATTTATCTATTGCTGTGTATGACAGGATATGAAAGATATGAAGTGGAGAGCTTTTGACCTTTTTTCCCCTTCATCATACGAGGGTTGTCCAAAAAGTTCGTGGACAATGACGTTTTTGTGAAAATAAATGGTTCTATATAAATCTGTTGTATATCAAAATATTTCTTATGAAAAAACAAATCAGAATGATTTAGTTTTTACTGATGGAACGTAATATTTTTTGAAAAATCGGAGTCTTTAGATGTCGCGGATAGTGCGCACGGACCAAGGTTAAAATGATGTAAACTCTGATATAAAGGGTTCGGATTAAGATGATTATTTTTTATATAAAACAAGTCAAAAATTAGTAAAACTTTTATGTAACACAAATAAAGAGGTTATTATCATTTTATATCTTAAATATCGCTTACTATATAGACAACGAAAATACACAAAGAAAACCTTAACAAGTACGTGTCAAAACTCAACAGAAAAAGAGACGTCGGCCGTCGGCACGGGGCAGCGTCCGATCAAAAATATAAGTTCTAATTTGGTTGAATCGACGTAAGAGACAATATATTTGTTAAAACAACTCAAAATTATTGAAATACATTTAGTGTATTGTTTTGAGATTGGTATATACGATTTTGCAACAGTGTGTACAAATTCGAAGACACTACAAGAATTCCAAAACACATGTAATTAACTGTAAATGGAGATTTCTATTCCTGACGTTGTTATTTATCCAGCACAGTGTCGAAATACAATATATTTACATTTCCAGGAATAATTACATCAAATCTAGCATCTGAATATCTGTGTAATTTCTAAGGGGGGGGGGGGGGGGTATATAAATAAGATGAAAAAAAAAAGGTTTAAATGTATACTTCTTATACATAACAACTGTCTTCAATATGAATTGGTAAAAATAAAAGTCACATTGAGATACTTTGAAGTTAGTGAGAATTAATTTTTAAATAGCTCATGCTATCAGCAAATCATGTTTTCAATACTTGATTTGACTAGATCTCAATTTGATAAATGGCTACATCTTATCCATAGTCAGTGTCTGACATTGAAAGATACAATCCTGGGTCCTTTCTTTGTCATCGTGTAAACCACAATCTATGATCGTACTGGTTAAATTTCGTTGGAAATCATATTTATGTGCTTCTGAAATCCTCCATCCACCTCCTGTTTTATTTTCTTGTTTCGGTTTTCCAAGAGATGATATTCTGTTAGTCTTTGCATAATCTGATAGTCTTTCACCATTCTGAGATTAGACATAGATCATTTCCATAAGCCCTCACTAGAGAATTATGGAAAATCAAAAAAATAATGTCTTAGTTGAAAACAAAAATAGTTATATAATATAAGCTTGAGGAAATTCTAAATATAGACAAAACGGGTACAAATACAAGGTGTAACATCAGATTTTGACTTTTCATATTAACCATGGGTAACACCTCCAGTAAAGAAAGGAGTAATGGAATGAGTAAAATTCAGTTTGGAAAGAGCGTTCTTTCAGAGTAAGATGTAGACAGAGGTATACCAGTTAAAATAAAAAAAAAAAGATGGCTCTATTGAGATCATTTCTCAACAAGAATATAACCAACTAGTGCTAATTGTAACGGGAACCGTTACAGATATTCCCCAAACGCTTCCCAACTCTCTTCTCGTGCCATATTCCCTGTAAGTTTCATTAAAGAAGGCAAAATCTATGCATTTAAGACGTAAACAACGTTTTCTCAAAGTATACCAAGTATTTCAAATTTAAGCAATGCAGGTGTGCGCATGTGATTGCATGAGCGTCATGACGATATCATCTTGTCTACACTGTTTTACTCATTGCACGTGCACGCACGTGGATGATGACCATACCTTCTTGTAGGAGTCCATTATGTATGTCTATGTTCTTAATCCCATCCTGTTTGGTTGAAAAACAAGGGAGTCATAGCCATTTAAAGTTTAAGCCAATCAGATTGCAGCGCACGTGCATGCGCGTGTTTTCATGAAAATTATTATATCATATTGTAGGACATCTTAAAGTATGCCTATGTTTTAAATTTCAAAGCATTTTGTAAAAAAAACAGGAAAGATATTGATTTTTGTTTCAGCCAATCAGAGCAAAGTGCACGTGCACACACGTGCATGCATGTGAATGGTGACCATACCATCTTGTAGGAGTCCTTTATGTCTATCTATGTTTTAAATCCCATGCTGTTTGGTTGAAAACCAAGGGAGTTATAGTCATTTAAAGTTTTAGCCAATCAGATTGCAGCGCACGTGCATGCGCGTAATTTCATGAAAAATTTTATATATCATATTGTAGTACATCATAATGCATGTCTATGTTATAAATTTCAAAGCATTCAATCATAAAACAAAAAAGATATTAAGATTTCTGTTTCAGCCAATCAGAGCAAAGAGCACGTGCATGCGCGTGAGTTCATGCAAATTTGACCATGTCATCTTATCTACACAACTTATATATCTTTATATAATGAGTTTCAAAACATTTTATCGAAAAATATAAAAGTTACAACCATATTAAATATATCAGTCATTTTACTCATTGCACGCGCCTGCACGTGCATGCGAATGCGAGCAAAATGACCTTCGTTCAACACATCTACACAACATGCCTACTAACCCTAAAAAGGTTTTAACTTAGTTTGGTGAACAGTTTCTGAGAACACTTCCGGTCAAAAAAGTACCGGAGAAGAAATAAGAAGAAAAAAGAATAATAACTAGGAGACTTATTGTTCACAGAACAATAAGAGGTCTTTCCACCTTTTTAAATTTCTTATAGTTTTATATTTTACTCTCTAAATTTGATTTTATTGGAAAATGGCTTAAAAGATAGTTAAAATTGAAAAAAAAAAATAAATGACCTTGACCTTTGACTTTGATCAGATCTTCAAGGGTAAAGATCAAGGGCCACATTCCAATTGACCCCATGTCTCTACTACTTATATTTTTAAAGTTATAAGATTTAATAGTAAGCACTTATGCGTTAAAGGGCAATAACTCATATAAGGGGTCATCAGATCCTTACGCAATGATACACTGAAGTTGTATCTTAAGACGCTTAAGATATTTGTGAAGGTTTCGTGCCTCTATGGTTTACAGTTTCGGAGGTGTAGCGATAACAAGGTTTTTCACACAAGGGGCAATAACTTTAGAGAGGGTCAATGTTAGGGGACAAGAATGAAATCTTTGAAATTGTTTTCAAAGTACATATCAATGATGTAAAGACATAAAGCATATCTTGAAAGACAAAAGAGATATAAGAAATGCTTAATTTCTCAGTTTTGGAATGACCTTGACCTTTGACCTTTGCATAAATTTCAAGATCAAAGGTCAACAAATCTTAAGCAGTTGGTCCCATGTCTCTACGACTTCTCATTTTGAAAATTTCTAATTATTTGTAAAATTCAATAACTTCCAGGGGCAATAACTCATTGAAGGGGTCAACGAATACTTTTGCAATGAATCATTGGAGTGTCTACTAAATTAGTCGAAGACATTAGAGAAGGTTTCATTTCTCTACGGTTCATGGTTTCGGAGGAGTAGCGATAACAAGGTTTTTCGCAAAAGGGGCTATAACTTTAAAAAGGTTTAATGTTAAGGGACAAGAATGAAATCTTTGAAATAGTTTTAAAAGTACATATTAATGATGCATAAACATTAAGTATATGATGAAAGACAAAAGAGATATAAAAAGAGCGAAATTTCACATATTTGGAATGACCTTGACCTTTGACCTTAAATGAATTTTAAGGTCAAAGGTCAATGAATCTTATGCAGTTGGTCCCATATCTCTATGACTTCTGGTTTTGAAAATTTTTAATTATTTGTAAAATTCAAAAAGTTTCAGGGGCAATACCTCTTTGAACGGGTCAATGAATACTTTCGCAATAAATCATTGGAGTGTCTACTAAATTAGTCGAAGACAATAGTGAAGGTTTCATTTCTCTATGGTTCATGGTTTCGGAGGAGTAGCGATAACAAGCTTTCTTGTGAAAGGGGTAATAACTCCGAAAGGGATCAAAGTTCATATACG